TAGTTGGAAATAGTTGGTGGCTAAGAGAGAAAGAAAGCAGGACTCCTCAGATTTGAAAACCACCAATGGTGTTATAAAATTTTGCATTTTCTGTTGTTTGGATGTAGGTGAGAATAACCTCTAAGTCCAAATAAGCAATCGCAAAGCATTCTCTTGGGATTTTCCCATTTCTTTTCTATCCTTAAGTGTGGCCACTGGAAAAATCAGAGAACATCGGAGGAGTTTTATAACTCTGAAATGTTAGGCATATGTGATGCGAACTGTGCTGAGATTTGTGAGATGTGTGTTGTGCAATTACGCTAGTGCAGCCAACAGAAAGTGTTTGTGGAAAGTAACAGCCTATCCCTCTTCAGTTGATTCCCTTTCCCTGGTTTTCCCATCCCCTGAGTTCCACTCTCTGGGCAGTAGGAAATTCAGCGGGAAGTAGACGACAAAGTGCCTTCACTTTCTTTGGGTCAGTTGAGGGCAAATGTTGCCTCTTTCCTGCTCTGAGAATTGTCCAGAATGCTCATCTCTGGCGAAACACAATCATCCTCAGCCTTTCATTTGGACAAAATCTGCCATTTGGCTTTGGTTTTGGCCTCCGCCTTCTGAAGGTCAAGTAGTCAAATACTCTGCCATTTTTAAACTTGTAGGGGCTGTCTATGATTGTGGCATCACATAAATACCTATCATTTCTAATCAGGGTGTCAATGTCAATGATATGAATGAGGCCTGTCACTGGGATTTGTTAATATGTGAATATTCACTTTCAAATGTAGGTGAGCTTCTAGCTGTAATGGAGTAAAAAAAATCTTCTTAAGTATTAATACTCTATATGTTGAAATTCTATCAATAGTCCAAGTATACATTTAGATTTATTATTGCTAAAATAAAACAAAGCATGAATTGATTGGAAACAATTTTATTTTCAAAAATAATAGTTAGAACTTTCAGTTTAGTAGAAAAATCAGTTATTGACAGACTGTTAGGAGAGATTTTGTTGACTAGATAATAATTTAAATAATACAATCAATGTATGTACAGATATTAGACATTTAAAATGTGAGTGAAGAAAAAATCTTGAACTTGCTTTTGAAAATAGTATCTTCAAGCAGGGCACAAAGCTTCAGTTTGTGGGACTGTTTCAATGAAATTACGTCACTGCCGTGAACTCAATTTTCAAGTACAGAAGTTGAAGAGGAGCTGAGTCTTTGCCATAGTCACATAGTATCTAGGAGGAAGAAAAACCTAATGGTTTGGTAGCAACATCACTATATACGTGTCCCTTACTGGCAGAGCCAGTCAAAAAATATCTTAGCTCCACCTTCAAACATTTGAAAGTAAGCATTTAATCCGCATCCAGATGTTCAATAGAGTCACCACAAGAGCAGTCCAGTGGGCAATAGTGTGAAGGAATTAATGCTCCTCCATGATAAAAATCCAACTTTAAAATTTGATGTGTAAAATATAATAATAAAACTACAGTTAATAATTTAACTCTTGGAAAATTTTCAGATTTATTCTTATACCATGGCAATTTATTTTAGATGGTAATATTGGGCTTTGGTTATTGATTTTAAGTCATTTGGCCAAATGTGTATTTGGTGCTCCTTTACTCCTTTTCATTAATTTATTTCTTTTAAATTGAGGTGAAATTTACATACCATAAAATTAACATTAGGGACTCACTTTTAGTTCTCCAGAAACAAGCCATATTCATGACAGAAATTTAAGTTTTTCCACTAAAAATTCTTTGAGACTCAGGTCTTCAGTGAGGAATTGATAAACTTTCATGTATGAATCCTAATTGTTCCTTGAATTCCCAAACATGAATATTCTGGTAATGTCTACACTATTTATATTTCATGTATTAATGTTTGGTGCATTTATCATACTTTCTTTTTTTTTTTTTTTTTTTTTTTGAGACAGAGTCTCACTTTGTTGCCTGGGCTAGAGTGAGTGCCATGGCATCAGCATAGCTCACAGCAACCTCAAACTCCTGGGCTCAAGTGATCCTCCTGCCTCAGCCTCCTGAGTAGCTGGGACTACAGGCATGCGCCACCATGCCCGGCTAATTTTTTCTATGTATATTAGTTGGCCAATTAATTCTTTTTTTATTTATAGTAGAGACGAGGTCTCGCTCTTGCTCAGGCTGGTCGAACTCCTGACCTCGCGCAATCCGCCCGCCTCGGCCTCCCGGCGTGCTAGGATTACAGGCGTGAGCCACCACGCCCGGCCCTATCATACTTTCTTAAAGAACCTCAAATGAAATATTTTGTAAACTGTATTTATTATTAATAGGTTCAATATAATAAGCAACAAGGACTGATATCCTTCTTTTATAGTTTGGCCTTGAAACAAGTCTTAAACTATTTTTAAATTATTTGAACAAAAATGTGATAAAAATTCCTAGTCTATTTTCAAGTAAATACTTGTACTTTGAGAATTACAATAATCTTCTAACTAATATTTTTTACTTTTCTAAAAACTTCTATAAGTTGGTTAGTTTTATTTCTTGGCTTGAACATAGGTTCTGTCTTGTATATCAACATATCAGAAGAATTATTTGAGTAAAGTTTGAAAACCAACGGGACAGAGATTTGGTTCAGAAAATCCTCCTACAAATACGTTTAAAAATAAAAAAAAAATTAACCTTTTCCCCATTTTTTATAAAAATGTTACTGTGGTAACAACACAACATGAGATCTGTTCTCTTAACAAATTTTTAGATGCACAATTAAAAATTAACCATTTTAAAGCAACAATTCAGTAGCATTTGGTACATTCACAATGTTGAGCAGCCACTACCTCTTTCTAGTTCCAAAACATTTTCATCACTCCAAAAGGAAACTGTACCCCCATTAAGTAGTCACTCATTTTTTCTTCTCCTGCGCACCTGGCAACCACCAATTTGAGTTCTGTTTCTATGGATTTATCTTTTCTGGATATTTCATATAAATGGAATCATACAATATGTGACCTTTGTGTCAGGCTTCTTTGATTTAGCATAATGTTTTCAAGTTTCATCCATGTTGTAGCATATATCAGTACTTCATTTCTTTTATGGCTGGGTAATATTCCATTTTATGAATAGATCACATTTTGTTTATCCATTTATCTATTGATGGACATTGGGTTGTTTCCACCTTTTGGCTATTGTGAATACTGCTGCAATGACTTTTGGCATACAAGTGTCTGTTTGAGTTCCTGTTTTCAATTCTTCTGGGTATGTAAGAGTGGAATTGCCGGGTCACATGGCAATTCTGTGTTTAACTTTTTGAGGAACTGCCAAGCTGTTTTCCTCCTTTACTTTTCATACTCAGGATGTACACACAGTTGTGGCCTGATGAGCCAGAAATTCAAATATGAGTTCAAAATCAGAAATTCATAGTTCTTTGAGTGGCTCCAGAAGTAACCAGGTGCGGTAGCACTGTGCCATTGATACGGTCACATCCCTTGACCTTTACTGGGATTAGCTTCAGCTGTCCTGCTCCCTGGGTAAATCCGCTGAAGACAAACCAAAACACCTGTGTTGGGAAGAACTTACCCGACCTCATTGTGTTGGCTTACTGGGGACATTCATCTGTGCATTGGACAAGTAGTTATTCAGTGCTAACACTGTGCTCACCACTGTTCTTGGTGCTTGGTGTTTATCTGTGAACCAAACAGACAAAAATCCTTGTCTGAAGGACCTCATATTCCAAGTCCAAGAGACAGACAACAGACAATGAAAATAAGTGAGGGCAGTCAGGGAAGGCTGTTCAAATTTATTAGCACATGATTGTAATAGTGTTAGTGTTTTAAATATCTCTATTGTGACTGTAGTTATACCCTATTTCTTGTGCTGCAGTTTATTTACTATTTTTCTTAGACACACCATTTGTAAGACTTCTATCTTATTAATTTTTATTTTTTAAAGACACTAGTGGGTCTTTTATTTCCAAGTATGAACTACAGGTAAAATCTAAAAGGATATACATACTAAAAAATATTTTCCAATTAATTTACAATATGTATTAAATATAAATGAATTAAGTCTCAACAGTACATACATACAAATTAAACAAAAGCAGAATAAACAACTCTTAGGAGAGCCAACTTCAATCCCGATTTTATCACTTAACGAGAGCAAGATCTTAGGTCATTCCATTCGAGGATGACTAGAAAATTTAAAATACTACCTTAGACTCCACCTAAGAAAACTCTTCAAGGATTTCGTCAGACAGAAGTTGGGAAAAATTCAATTTAAAAAAAATTGTATTTTCTAGCCCTCATACACATTAAAACCCAGGCCCCTTGCAGTCAACCCAGACCATCATTCCTAATGATTTGGGTTAGAAGGCCCTTTCCCTGAAAGATGACCCTTTATCTCTTACCCACAACACTTCACCCAGGCTACAGGATAACAAAACACAACCTTGTCTTCTATGTAGCACCAAGAAACTAATATCTAGGTATGCCAATAAAATTAAAGACAATCTAGGATTGCCTTTAACGTCGATTTAAGAGTATTTTGATTCATTAAAGAAAATAAAGTTAGAAATGACGTCCTTAGTCTACACAGGTTTAACTTGTTTTCTAATAGTAACTTGGTAAATTTCAAATCGGCTTAGTAGTAGTAAACAGACTACTTTGTATTTGGTGTAAAAACCAAATAAATCAGGCTAGACCTGACAGTACGAACAATGCTATTCTTTGAGAACGTAAACTTTTAAATATGCTCTGAAGCAGGGAGGCTGCATCTTACAACTGCCTTGTGGCATAAGTGAATGTTTAATCCTGCTGGGCCACACTCACTAGGGTCTCCACAATGTAAGGACAAGGTTGCCACTCTTACTGTTACAGTGAAGTTGTAGCCTGTGAAAGCAGATAATTGTTTTTATCTTATAACACTCTTTCCTTCTAGGTGCTACTAGGATGGATTTTGAGGTAGCTACACAGTTTTAAAGATGGTGTTAATGAATATTTTGGATAATTCAGACTGTAGCTGGTTAATACACTTCAACTGATTTTTTTTCTTTATGACAAAGAAAAATAAGCAAAATTAAGGGCACATCTCCAGTTCATTTAGAAGCCAGCATCCAAGGTAAAAGAATTCTCTATTGGACTTGACATCACTCCCATTCTCTGATATTCGCCTACTCTCTTCTCAAAGAAGTTAGTCTTTCCTTCCAGTGCAATATTCTCCATAAAGTCAAATGGATTTTCTACTCTGAACACCTTGCTAAAACCCAGTTCCAGCATAAGTCTGTCAGCCACAAATTCAATGTACTGCTTCATTAACATGCAATTCATCCCAATGAGCTTCACAGGCAAGGCGTCAGTGAGGAACTCCTCCTGTATCCTAACAGCATTGATAATTATTTCTTTTACTCTCTGCTCCGACGGTTTATGTACCAGGTGTTTGAACATCAGGCAGGCAAAGTCACAGTGTAAACCCTCATCTCTGCTAATAAGTTCATTGGAAAATGTGAGGCCAGGCATCAGTCCTCGTTTCTTGAGCCAGAATATTGATGCAAAAGAACCAGAAAAGAAGATGCCTTCCACTGCAGCAAAGGCTACAACACGTTCTCCATAGGTAGCCTCTTTGTCCCCAATCTAACGCAAGGCCCAATCTGCCTTCTTCTTGACACAAGGCATCGTTTAAATGGCATTGAAGAGATATTCCCTTTCTTTGGAATCTTTAATGTAAGTATCAATGAGGAGACTATACATTTCAGAATGCATGTTTTCCATGGCAATTTGGAAGCCATAGAAACAGCGAGCCTCTGTAATCTGAACTTCTTGGCTAAATCGCTCCACCAAGTTTTCATTTACTATGCCATCACTAGCTGCAAAGAAAGCCAGAACATGCGATATGAAATATTTCTCATCAGGCTTCAGAGCTTCCCAGTGCTGAATGTCCTTGGAAAGATCCACCTCCTTGGCCGTCCAAAAGGAAGCCTCAGCTTTCTTATACATTTGCCAAATATCATGGTATTCGATAGGAAAGATAGCAAAGCGGTGGGGGTTTTCTCTCAGCAGTGGTTTATCCTCCGGACGGGTACTTTAGTTTTCGGCTCTTCGGGCTCCTGGAAGATCCTCCTCGCTGTCTTGCTGGCCAGGACGTGGGTTCCGTTCAGGCTCAGGGGCGTGTTCTCCTTGTCGGCCAGGCTGAGCCCCTTCAGTGGCGAGAGCCGGGGCTGCTTGTCCTTCCTGTGCACGGACGGCAGAGGCAGGCGCGGCGGCGAAGGCCACTGCAGCAGCGGCCAGTGGCGCCTTATTAATCTTTTTATAGGACCAGGTTTTAGTTTTGTTAGTTGCTTCAGTTACTCTGCAGTTTATTGATTTCTGCCCTAATAGTTATTATTTCCTTCTTGTTTCTTTCAGTTGGTTCTATTGTCCTTTTTCTAATGTTAAGCTGTATACTTAGCTTATTTTTTTTAACCTTTCTTATTTCCTGATAAATGTATATAAAGCTATAAATTTCCCTTTAAAGTGCTGCTTTAGCTGTGTGCCATCAATTTTGATATGTAGTGTTTTTATTATCATCCAGTTCTAAATATTTCTAAGAGTCATTTTCAGTTTCCAAATATTTAAAAAATCTACCTTTTACAAATTAATTTCTAATTTCATTGAAATATGGTTGGAGAACCTTGTCTGTATCATACTGATCTTTGGGAATGTATTGAGGAAAATACATGGTCTAATGCATATCTGTTTTTATAAATGTCCTTGTATCCACTACAAAAGAATGTGCATTCTTACCTGGCTGTTGAATTCTCTCTATATTAATATCTATTAGCTCGAGGGAGGCCCTCTCTAAGGAAGTACATTTAAGCTGAGGTCTAATGTTAGGAAGGAGCCAGCTTCTGAAAATCTGGGGAAAGTATTCCAGGCAGAGGAAATAGTAAATGCAAAGGCCCTGAGGTAGAAATAAGCTTGGTGTGTTCCAAGAACAGAAAGAAGGCCAATAAAACTGGAGCATAGTGGGTGAGGAGTAGAGAGGTGAGCTAAGGTCCTGAGAGGTAGCAGAGGCCAGATCAGGTAGGGCCTTCGGGGCTATAGTATGGACTTTAATTTTAGCTCACATAGTACATTCACTGACTGCTTACTAGGTGGTTCACTAAGCACTTTATATAAGCTTAATGTCATGTACAAATTGATCTCATTTTATGCAATGGAGAGAGCATTTTGAGATGAAAAGTACCTTGGAAATCATATTTAGCCCAGTCCTTTCCTTTGGCAAATAGGAAAGTGAAGATGGGTGTTAGGTCGCATAGATAGGCTCTGGACATCCTCCTGCCTCTCTGATGGATGACCTCCAAAAAGGGAAGACTTAATTTTTACAATTTCATTCAAATGTTATTAAAGAAATCTTTTCTTGTTACAAACCTCTTTGTAAAGCAAAAACCACTCTCACCCATCCCATTCTACTTATTTCTAGATTTTTATAGATCAGGTTTACTTAAAGTGAGTTTCCACAGAGACTCCCTTCTTTCCTAAAATGCTCTGCATGCTCTAATTTTACTGCTTTCTACTTTGCTTTGACATTTGGATCTGTTTCTGGGAGGCAGCAGCTTCAGCCTGCCCTACATTCTCCTCAGTGCCACCTTCATTTCCAGGATAACCTGTCCCAGCCATTTTTTTATGGGGCCTCTGTGGCACATTTAAAACCTTCCACCTGATAAAACATTATGATTACCCATTGCCATTGCCTGGCTGCTTGCAGGTTTTGCCCTTTACCATCCTTGGAGGCTGAGCCATGTTGCTCAGTGACATGGGAGTTAGTGCAGACACACCTGAGCAAGCAAGAACTGATTCCAGGTGTTGCGCCAGCCAGTCCTCAAACTCCAAATGGGTACAGGGCATGTTCGAGGCCTCCCTGCAGATAAGCCTGGCTCAGACTCAGGGATCTGCAAGTCACTCTGTGGACCTCATCCCTTAGTGCTTTTTCTGAAGTTGAAGGCAGATTTATTCTCATCGGGACAGTAGAAATTATATGATGATGATAAAGTCAATACCTCAGGTAAAGTGAAGCCTTGAATTCCACCCTGAGAAAGGCAAAGATAAGATTGATATCCCCAGTACTTTGGGAAGGCCAAGGCGGGAGGATCACTTGAGACCAGGAGTTTGAGACTAGGCTGAGCAACATAGTGAGACCCTGTCTCTACAAAAAATAAAAAAATTAGCTGGGCGTGGCAGCATACGTAAGTCCCAGCTACTCAGGAAGCTGAAGCAGGATTGCTGGAGCCCAGGAGTTTGAGGTTGCAGTGAGCTATGATGATCCCACTGCACTCTAGCTTGGGTGACAGAGTGAGACCCTGTCTGTTAAAAAGAAAAAAAATTGATATCTACCAACCACTGGCTTACTCCTTCTTCCTTGCAAATTCATTGTTCTCCCCTAAAATGTTCTGCTCACTCTTTTTCCTGGCTTTCTGACCATGCTGGCCCTCTTCAGTGGAATATTTTCTTAGCAAGATACATTTATAGGTTTGCAGGGCACAGGGAAATATGATCAGCAAGACCTAAGCCTCCAGTTGACACTCAGGCCAAAAGAATGACAAGACTCTATAAAAAAAAGGACCTTTTTTTTTTAATCACATAAAGAAATTTCCTGGCCGGGCGCTGTGGCTCACGCCTGTAATCCTAGCTCTTGGGAGGCTGAGGCGGGCGGATTGCTCAAGGTCAGGAATTCAAAACCAGCCTGAGCAAGAGTGAGACCCCGTCTCTACTATAAATAGAAAGAAATTAATTGGCCAACTGATATATATAGAAAAAAATTAGCTGCTAGTCCCAGCTACTTCGAGAGGGCTAAGGCAGGAGGCATGGTTTAAGCCCAGGGAGTTTGAGGTTGCCTCGTGCAGCTAGCCTGACGCCACTGCACTCTAGCCCAGGAGAGGAGACCCCTGTCTCAAAAAAAAATAAAAAATTAAGTACAGTACGGCAACCACCATATAATTTGCCCATTTTCCTTCAGACAACAGTAACTTCAAATTGGCATTTCATGTTCGGCTCGAGCCATAAATATTCACAGCTCAACATTGAATTCCATTATTGCAACATAAAAGGAATATCACTGTGACTAACTACTGGGAAATGTCCATTTGGCGCAAGAGTCGAGTCCTGGGTTCGGGGCGGGGACACTTTGGCGCGGAAAAGCGGCCCGGCTCTGTGAGCGAGACAATGCGGTTTTGCCGCGCCGAAGGCCGCTCAGGGGGTGCTCAGAACCTTTCCTGTCCCGCCGCACGCCGCCACCTCACCGGCTCCTCGGGCTCCTTGGAAGATCCCTCCTCGCGGTTCTTGCTCGGCCAGGAACGCGGGTCCCGTCAGCTTCGGGGGCTTGCGGGGAGGACGCGCGTGAGGGGCTGCGGGGCTGCCCTCGTCACCCGCCCGCGGCGCGGCCGCAGCGCCAGCGCCCGGCCCCGCCGCAGCCGCGCCCGCGCGCTTCACCGTCGTTCTCCTTGTCGCCAGCGCTGCAGGCCCCTTCAGCGGCGAGAGCCGGCTGCTGCTTGTCCGCGACCGGGGGCGATGGGGGGCGAACCGGGAGCGCGCACGGAGTAGGCATGGCGGCGGGAGGCAAGCGCGGCGGCGGAGGCAGGCGCGGCGGCGAAGGACACTGCAGCAGCGGACGAGGGGGCACAGGCGATGGGCCGAGGTCTGCGCGGGTCCCTTAAAGCATGCCTGTGCCCTCCCACTCGCCGCCTCTCATTGGATGGCGCGAGCCCCTTCCGCCCGAGTAGCACGGTCCGCAATTTGAAGACCAGCGCGCGGAGAGTTCGCGCACGCCGTCCGGGGACCGGCCAGGACCTCCAGGACCTCCTCGACCCCTCCGACGCTGGTTGGGTAGGACGCCGCTTCCCGGCCCCCCGCAGACCAAGGCTGCAGCCCCGAGTGTCCCGCGGCCACCTTGCGCACCGCTGAGGCTCTAACGCGTTAAAGGATTTGGAGGGAGGCTAAGTATGGGCAGCCCGAGGAGCGGGCGAACCGTCGCCCAACCCCTTACAGCCCCACCCCCCATTCCCACAGCCCCACCCCGCCAACCCCCACCCAACAGCTTCCCAACTGTCCGCGGCGGCGGACTTTGCAAATGAGGTTGGTCGCCAAATGAGCTGAGAGAGGTGGGTCAAATGAACTGAAAAAATGCCTCCTAGGCTGGTGGGGGGAAGCCGTTACTGTGACCATTTAGATTCGTATCCTGGGGTGGGCATTGCAAGGGCCCTTATACTCTGACAGATTTGCGGGGGTGGTCCGGCGTGGAGGCACCGCTGCAGCCCACATGGTTAAGGCTGCTGGCTGACTGTGCCCCACGGCTCCGCGTTTGCCTGTGACGTTGGGACAAGCTGACCGTGACCTCTTAAAGAAGTCAGTGGCCTGCTGGGCAAAAATGGGATTGTGCACCATGCCTTACCTCCTGTGGGATTACTGAAAAGTCGGAGGGAGGAGGCCGTTAAATGAGACGATTCCATGTAAACATGTACAGCTCCTTTGCTAAACCTTCAAACCAAACTAAATGATACAGGGAGCACCCTTTGGGCAGTTTCTCACTGAAATCCTGTCGCCTGCATTACCACTGGCCCATTGTCAGCCTTGTTCTTTAAAAATGCAAACTACACAAAAAGCCCCTGACGAGGGTTCAGAGGAATGGCTTGAAGCAACTAAAGGATCATCGTTACTACTTATGGCATCAAATTCAGGCCTACATAAAGGACGAAGCTTGAAAAGTGCCATTGGGGCGAGGTGGAGACAGGAACTTAGCAGTGTTTCATTTGATTTTGTTGGTTGCACTTCTGGAGGTCACCAAGGGATGTTAGCCCTTGCACAGGGCAAAAATGCCAGAAATAAGTGAAGAGAAAGAAACGTTAAGATCAGGAAAGAAATGGATAAACCTGAAACTCCACGTGAGCCGACGGACACTGCGCACTTTTACAAAGCCTGTTCGTAGATATCTGCTTTAAAGCAGCTGGGTAGGCCAGGAGCCTCCCCACCTGGTCTGTTTCTGCCAGCTCTTCTTAAACGAACTACAGCCTTGCGCTTCAAAAGCCATTCTCATGTTACAAAGTCACATGACCACCATGCTCTTCCTTACACAAAGCAGCACAAAAACTAAAACTCTTGGGCGTGCTGTAGCATCATTTATTTAAAGCAACTCACAGACATATGGATTCGCCATTTTGCACCCTTCCGATACTTGAGCATCCGATCCCTAAGGAAATTGGGGTATTTTGTTGATAGTCTACTGGGCTGAAAAAGCCATGATCTCACAAAATTATCCATAATTTCTTGGTATTCTTTCTAATACCCAACTCACTCCCCAGTTCCTTAATCAGTATCCAAAACTGCGTCATTCTTAGTTGTTCTCAGCCGACTGTTAGCTCCAGTTCACACTCACTCTGAAACTCTGAAGCAGCCAGAAATGAACTCCACTTTTTAGTTTGTTTCCTGACCCGCTGAAACACACACACCCATTGTTGAAGAAAAACTCGGGAAGGCGCGAGCATGGATTGCAGGAGGCAGGGGAGGAAGCGCCATCCAGCCTCCCCAGCCCAGCTCGCAGTCTCCCCGGCGGGCGTGCGCTGCGCGCTTGGGCAGGAGGCCAAGGGGCGGCCAGCCACCGCGAGGCCCGCGCAGCCGGGACCCACCTTTCCCGCGCTCTACGCGCAAGTGTTCACATTTGGACTTACCTGCACAGGCAGGTAGCTGACGGGGAAAGTCCCGGAAAGCACTTTCGCACGCCCCGCCCACTTCCGCTCCCGCCCGCTGCGGCCGCCCCGCCCCGCCCACGCGGGCCCCTCCGCCCCCGCCCCCGCCCTCTTCCGGGCAGGGAGCCGCGCGGGGGGCGCTTCCGGGAGCCGCGTGGCAGCCCCTGCGTGCCGGCCGCGGTGCGGGCTTGTCCGGTCAGCGAGGGCCGCGGCACCCCACACCCCACAGCCCCGCGGCGCCGGCATCGGGCGACGCACTTTGAATCCACACCAAGCGCGGAGGCTGGCCCAATTTTAGCGTGTTTATAGGTGCGGGAGCTGGTCCAAGGCCACACAGCTCCTTAAACCGCACAGACTAGAGCCGTTTCAGCCCGTCGACTTTTTATTAAGGAATGGGTTGCCACACACATCTGCAGCGGTCCCGTCACCCCGCTTAGGATTCAGCCACTGTTTCGGTTTTGCCAATAACTGCGCCTTTGTCCCCTCGGATGGGGGGTGGGCGTTGCTTTTCGGTCTTTCAACTAGGAAAGCGCCTCCACTTTTTTCCCCACGACACTGACTTTGAAGTAGGGGGCCAGTTTCTGATAGTGTTCCGCACATTTGGTCGTACATTTGGCCTGTTCTTTCAGTAGTGTTCTATTTTGAACGGGTTTGAACCTCTCTGTTATTGACTGAAACTGTGAAAGTGATTGGATCAAAGCTGCTTTATTTAATTAGTTAAAAGTTATGCAAGAGAAGGCTGGTTGTAGATTGGTGATTTGTGTTTTTTCTGTTGTTGTGGTTTAGTAGAGGTAGGATTTGGATCCAGTCTGGTTCTTAATAACAAATCCTGGCGGGTTCGCTAGCCGCATCAACTCGTGTTTAACCGCCTGCGGGAGGAGATGTATTTTCGTAGCTTATAGGATGTTTTTTTGTGGTATTCTGCTTGCGGCCGTATAACTGCTGTTTGCATATTAGAGATCTTGTCTGTTGGTACCCAGCCTCCAATGATTGGTGTCCCGATCGTATTCTCCTCGTTAGAGTAGTTCGTTACACCTCCTGCGTCCCCTCCACCCATGAATCGGGTTCCGCGTCTGAGTGACTGATTACAGTAAATGTGGAATTGACCGTGTGTGAGAGCTGTGGGACTTCTGACGGGCTAAGTCATGAATAAGTACTGCAAGCTGCGCTTCGTGGACCTCATGAAAGGGCCTCTCTTGTGGAAACCCAAGCCACTATTGTCATGCAGACAACACTAATAGTTTGTGGAGAAAGCCTTGGTGGCCTCCCTGCTTAACAACCAGCACACCGAGGAGACTTGCGAGGAAGCCAGCCCTGGAAGCGGGATCCTCCTTCCCAGTCAAGCTGTGCAGTCACTGAGCGAGGCTGCCATCTCACTGCAACCTTGCTGAGACACGCCCAGCCCAGCCACTCAGAATCCGGGACTCTCAGAAACTTGTTTTAATATGACAACGAATTACAT